ACCAAGCGTGTCTTTCAGTCATGAGTCGCATAAGTTCATCTTCTCTTTGATACTGGGCGTTTCGTGTGAAAGCAAGCTGACCTTGACTAACACGGCACAGATCAACTGGGATGAATGACAGTGAATTTCGTCGTGTAAAGAGCAAATGAAGCGTGAGCTGAAAAGCTTAGAAGCACTGAACCGCTGCTTCGATTTGTTTGGTTNTTTGGTTCTGATCAGCAGTGCGAATCCATCGACCCGAATGGGGGATCGAACCTGAGATCTCACAGGTAAAGTGCAAGCAAACCACCCACTTGATAACGGAACAGTTGAATAGACCATTTACAGTTTTTCCACACATGATACAGCACAATCCTTCTTTACAGGCTTATTGTGGGCATCAAACCTTGATTATATGAGCACTGGTCTGCATTACGATTACGACTCGGTTGGAAACTTTCCAAACGTTACTGTTTATTACTTGATAGAGATGAAGGATTCTATTGGATTAAACAGTGGATTTCGTCGGTCTTGAGCATATTGGTAGTTGTTTGCTCTAACGATTGGGTATTTTCCAAGATAACGTAGTCTAATGGTTCTCCGGTGGGTGGGGGTGGGGAGTGGAAAAGAAATCTACCAGAACACTGTCATGTGTAAATCAGTGAAGCGCATAGACTAGAACTGGTGAAAACATCACTAGATAGGAAGAGTAAAAAATACGGGAAAATCCAATATGTTCCAGCCAGTTTCATTAGCATCAGGTTCACAAAGTTCATTTTTGATACAACAAAACCCACAATGAATTCTCAGCCTGGAAATATCGTGGCATTTGGTGCATCGGTGAACACAATCATTCTATAAAAAAACGCATCGAGATGAAGCGCGACAATCGACTCTGTCGGGTGTTCTTTCTTTGTCTTTACATGTGACTTGTAAAGGCGCGTGCGATGATCATCTATAATTTGTCGCTTGCTGCGAGACGATCGACATATGCGGATGGTGACCGGGGTGCAATAGTCTCAGCAAACCCAGCTAATCATACATTTCCTTGTGCCGTTCATCAAAATGAACATCAATAATGTTGATTCCTTCTTTTGTAATAACCCACTTGCTGTTCGGATTCCATTCCAGTTAAGTGCATGCGTGAATTCCTAGTCAGATATCTTTTCAACAGGAGAATGCTGTTGGATGTCAGATAATCATTTTTACTTTTGCCTGGCACCACCGCTTACAGCTCCGATCCGAAACCGATTGATAACCTCCGGGTGTTGGTGGCCAGGTGGGTATCACAAAATGCCAAGCCTTATTGTTTTCGTGTTGGATTAATCACCGCCTTGAATGGAGAAATGGAGAAAATTAGAGCGCTGAGGTTTGTGGAACGTTGGTTAGCCGTATGCACCAGCTCTCAAGCATAAGTGATGCAATGATTCATACTGAGGTATATTCGTACTAGTAATACACTGTAGCTGTTTTTGTTACGTTACTTGCTCAGTTTCCCAGACTTTTCATCGTTTGTAATCTACTGTGGTTTAACTAATCATTATGAAGTGAATAGCCGTTGTGATGTTCTCATTGTCTGACCAAGCCATAACAACAGGCACTGAGACAAGGCGAGCGCACATACACAAACGCACAAACCCAGAGGATTCAATACTGATTGAGCGACGTGCAGAGTTGTGCAACGTGAATGTCAAAATTACAGAGGTGAAATAGGAACTGAGCTGCTTTGATTTACCAGTAATCGATATGTATATAACCAGGTCCTATTTCAATGCTTATGAAAGGGAACCGTTCGCTCCAATGGCGCTTTTTTCAAAATTCAACTACCCGTGAGAAGTGTCAGGCCAACACACCCACACCCACTCTGAACGAGGGGACGTGAGCTACTTCCTGCTTGAAATAGGCACGTTTTTTTCCGAACATCAG